CACTGGACTGAGCTTCCAAGGTCCAAATGAGGAGCACAAGGAGGGAGAACATGAGCAAGGAAGTCAGGACCCCGAGGGGTGTGCCCACCCACTGAGAGGGTGGGGCTGATCTAATGGGAGCTCACCAAGGCCAGCTGAATGATGGAGCAAGTGAACAAACTGGAGTCTCTGAAAGTGTCTGACAAGGAGGGCTGACCGAGAAGCCAAGGACAATGGCACTGGTGCATTGATCCTAGTGCATGTACTGGCTTTGTGGGAACCTAGTCTGTTTGGATGCTCACCTTCATAGACCTGGATGGAGGGGGGAGGACCTTAGACTTCCCACAGGGCAGGGAATCCTGACTGCTCTTCGGACTGGAGAGTGAGGGGGAGGGGGATAGGGGGAAGAGAAGAGAAATAAGAGGAAGGGAGGAGGTGGAAAATTATTTATTTATTTATTTATTAACGATTTCTGCCTCTTCCCCACCGCCGCCTCCCCTTTCCCTCCCCCTCCCCCAATCAAGTCCCCCTCCCTCGTCAGCCCAAAAAGCAATCAGGGTTCTCTGCCCTGTGGGAAGTCCAAGGACCACCCACCTCCATCCAGGTCTAGTAAGGTGAGCATCCACGAAACTGCCTAGGCTCCCACGAAACCAATAGGTCCAGTAGAATCAAAAACCCGTTGCCATTGTTCTTGAGGTCTCAGTAGTCCTCCTTGTCCGCTATGTTCAGCGAGACCAGTTTTGACCCAGGCTTTTTCAGACCCAGGCCAGCTGGCCTTGGTGAGTTCCTGATAGAACATCCCCATTGTCTCAGTGTATGGGTGCACCCCTCGCGGTCCTGAGTTCCTTGCTTGTGCTCTCTCTCCTTCTGCTCCTGATTTGGACCTTGAGATTTCAGTCCGGTGCTCCAATGTGGGTCTCTGTCTCTGTCTCCTTTCATCGCCTGATGAAGTTTAATATTCAGGAGGATGCCTATATGATTTTCTTTGGGTTCTCCTTCTTATTTAGCTTCTCTAAGAACCCGAATTATAGGTTCAATGTCCTTTATTTATGGCTAGAAACCAAATATGAGTGAGAACATCCCATGTTCCTCTTTTTGGGTCTGGCTTACCTCACTCAGGATGGTGTTTTCTATTTCCATCCATTTGCCTGCAAACTTCAAGAAGTCCTTGTTTTTTACTGCTGAGTAGTACTCTAATATGTATATATTCCATACTTTCTTCATCCATTCTTCAATTGAAGGGCATCTAGGTTGTTTCCAGGTTCTGGCTATTACAAACAATGCTGCTATAAACATAGTAGAGCATATACTTTTGTTGTGTGATAATGCCTCTCTTGGGTATATTCCCAAGAGTGGTATTGCTGGAGAAGCATACAGAACACCAAACAGACTGGATCAAAGAAAATCATCCCTTCGCCATATAATAATCAAAACACAAAATATACAGGTTAAAGAAGGTGGAAATTTTTAAGCAAAAATAAATAAAAAAGACTAAATGTCTGACACAGGTGATAGTGTGGAAAGTCATTGTTGAATTCTACTGTATTTTCTCATTTTTATACTTGAATAAGATACATGAGAATAATTCCTGACATGTAATATGGGATTCTTTCTTTATGCTGTGAATATATTTTATTACTATTGGTTAATAAACAAGCTGATTTGGTCCACAGGCAGGCAGAATATAGCCAGGTGGGAAATCCAAGCAGGCTTACTTGGAGAAAAAGACCAGAGTTAGGGAGAAGCCAATAGCCACCAGAGAAGCAAGAATTGTGGTAACAAGTCACGAACCTCATGGTTAAACATAAACTAATAGAAATGTGCTAATTTAAACATAAAACCTGGGCATAGCTATGCCCAAGTCAGGGTCAAACAATTATAATTAATATTATCTCTGAGTGGTTATTTTAAAAGCAGGTGCAGGATCAGAAGGGATGAAAAACCCCCAGCTACAAATGGCACCCAACCTCGTTAATGGATCCACATAAGACTTTTAAAAGCTTTCTAAAGATTCTAAGTGCAAAACGAGGAGTCACATTGGGCACCCTAATCTCTCAATGCTGGCCATTTCACAGACACAAGTCCAGACAACTGCCTGAGAGATGTAACTGGCATCCTATTGTCATGGGCTGGAACACATGGTAGATTCCTTCAGTCCCTTAATGTGATACAGTAAAGAGGATCCCATCAGCTGCCTGTGGGCTTGAGAGCACAGTTGTAGGGTGAGAAGCACAGCACAGCTACAAGATGTTTACTACTGCTTCCTAGAGTTGGGGCAGTAAACACGGCTCCAGGAGCTGGTGGTGAACATACTATAACATAACATAACCATGTTAGAAAGCCAAATAGGTCAGAGTCAACAGCCAAAGTCTCAACTTTTGTCCTAGCCACAGCATCTTAATGTTCTAAAATCTCTTCAGGTATAATAAGAAAAAAATTACAGAAAATTACAGATAAGAGAGATTCATGAAAAAGACTTTAAAATGGTCAGAATGTTTTTGATAAATATGCAGTCTTGGGAGATAGGGGATACAGGATAGGTAGAGTCATAGATTAAAAGTATAATTTAGGTTGTTTCCAGTTTCCGGCTATAACAAACAATGCTGTTATGAACATAGTTGAGTACATGTATTTGTAGTATGATTGAGCATAATTTGGGTATATATCCAAAAGTGGTATTACTCGGTTTTGAGGAAGGTTATTTCCTAATTTTCTGAGAAATAGCCTCAGCCACACTGATATCCAAAAGTCTGTACCAGCTTGCATTCCCACCATGAATGAAGGAGTGTTCCCTTTACCCCATAACCACTCCAGCATAAGTGGTCATCAGTGTTTCTGGTCTTGGCCATTTGTACAAGTGTAAGATGGAATCTCAGAGTGGAATAATTACACAATGGAGTACTACACTGCAGAAAAGATAATGACATGTTGAATGTTGCAGGAAAATTGATGAAATGTCTGCTTCTGTCAGCAACAATTTCGAGAGCATAATGGGCAGAAGGAAGCCCCTTATGGGGTTTGCCTTCAATATAGCAAGGCTAGACATTTGTGCAAGAATGTTTTGTTGCCTGGACAGCTTTACAAAATTTTGTATAATCTCGAATGCAGGCTCCATGAAACGATAACTGGGACTTGCCAAAAAAGGTGAGACAGTACGTCAAAGATCTTGCTTCAAGGAAGAATCTGTCAGACATTCTTCAAGAAACAAAAGAAAGAGACAGACAAATGTTACCAAAATAGGGAAGAGAGTACTTTAGATTCCCTGCATCACTGAAAAAACTACCAGATAATGTCAGTCTATAAGTTGAAAATGGATGCTCCAACATTACTTATGAACTTTGGGTGACTGTCCATGCAGCCTAATGTCTCTGTCATTTCTAGAGTTTAGTCATTTATTTACAATAAATTTCCTTTTTAATTACATAACACTGTATATTTCTGGGATCTTTGATGTAGTTGAAGAGTAGATGGGTGTAATTATTGTTTTCCTTATTTAGGAAAAATAATCAATTAGATCTAAAACTTTAGACTCATAAAAATAGGATGGATGGTAGAATATTTTATTTAATTTTGTCAAATACAAATACACTACATCTTGTAGCTGCAATCCTTGCTTAATAACTGTTTTGGTGTATGTAATTTTACAATAATGAAGTTAAAGCCTTCCTTTTTGATTAGATAGAAAGGGGGAAATTATGTGGAATGTCTTTCTGTATGCTATGAATATGTTTTATATAGAGGGGGCAAAAGAAGGAGATTGTTCTTGTCAGGGACAGCAAGGCATGAGGAATAATGTTAACTGAATTTAGGAAGGTTGAGAAAAATGATCATGAGAACAGTCCCCTTCTTTTCCAACCTCTATATTTCTCATACATGAGGCCCAAACTGTAGTCCCTTCATTGGATATGTAAGCTTGAATAAAAAAGCTTCACATAGACTCATATGTTTAAATACTGAAGTCTCACTTGGAGGAAATGTTTGGTAAATATTAGGAGATTTTATCTTGTAGAAGGTGTGTCATTTTGAAAAGTTAGATTATACTAAAGACTCATGCTTTTTTCAGAGACTTCTACTTCTTGTTTCAGATTGATCTTGAGACCCTCAGCTGCTGTTCCAGACACCAAGCCTTGACTCAGTCATAGTCCACTCTAATATTCCGAAGCTTTAAGCATAATAAATGTGTTTATTTTATGCTGCCTTTATCTTAGTGTATTTTCATAGCAATAGAAAAATAACCAAGGTAAATAGCCTTAGTGTTTCGCACTATGGTGAAGAATTCTGTGAATCTAAGAGAAATGAACTTGCTAAGCCAGTGATCAGATTTTACCTCAAAGACCCGATGTGACCTATGGTAGATTTACATAACAGTGGCAAATTCTGTATTTTTGATTTTCTAGGTAGGTAGATCTCACTTTCATAAAGTTTTCTTGACAGGTTCTACTTATACAAAATTCTATTATGAACCAAGATGAGAGTCATGGAATAATAAACCGAATGAACTAGAAACACACCTGGTTCTCATTTTAACCTGAGTGTACCATCCTCAAGGAGAAGAGAGGACATCAAATATGCTAGGATGTTTTTATGTAATTATCATGGTACCACTTTCCTTTTGTTTTTCCCTAAAACATTAATGCTGCTATAATCAAAAAACAAGCCATGACTTCTGCCTAAAATATGAAAATACTCAGAAATACCCATATATTTTCTTCTCATGAAATTTCAATGACTAATGTAGGGTACTTTGTAGTTGTCAGTTTACACTTTGTTCATGGGAGACTGCCTCCTATGATAAAATAGCACAAGAAGAACATATAATGTGTTGAGGACATTGGATTCCTTCAGAACTTACATGCAGAGAGAATTCCACAGAAAGTGTAAAAAAAAAATGCAGGTCAAACACCTGAGAAGAGTGCTTAATCTAAGGATGTCTGCATAAATTTCTGGGGTGAACCTATATTCTGTGTCTTTTGCACCACCTGGTGGCCCTGAGTGGCCTAACAGTGAGGTTTATGTCTGAGTTAACACTGAAGTTCCATCACTGTGTCTCTAGCACAGTAATAAGTGGCTGTGTCCTCAGATCTCACACTGTTGATTTGCAGGTACAGAGTGTTCTTGGCATTGTCTCTGGAGATGGTGAATCGATCCTTCACAGATGGTGCATAGTTTGTTGTACTGCTGTCTTTATTAATATTTCCAACCCACTCCAGCCTTTTCTCTGGAGCTTGGCGAAACCAGTGCATCCAGTTATCACTGAAAGTGAATCCAGAGGCTACACAGGATAGTCTCAGGGATCCTCCAGGCTTCACCAGGCCTCCCCCAGACTCCACAAGTTTCACGTCAGACTGGACACCTGTAAACACAGAGAATGTTGTTAGTAAATTGTCAGAGAAGCTCTAACTTTTATATATCTTCTCCATGTTCACTAACACAGTCAGTATCTCTTTTTCATAAATTACCTTTTAAAGAAGCAACAAGGAAAACCCAAATAAGCACCAAATTCATTGTGTATTTGTTTTCTGTGCTGATCACTGAATGGGAAGACCTAGGCATTCAGGACTGATTCCTTTGTCTGAGCTTCAGAGTCAGGATTTATCTGGTTTTCATGAGAACAGATGGGCCTTATTTGCATACCTTCCTGCTATATAAGTTCTGTTTTTGGAGCTAAGAGATAGCATGCTATAATATGTTTGTAAATGTGCTGGGGAAGTCTAGCATTAAAGACTCTAGGATTCTGATAACAAAAGGGGATTTCTGTGTGTAAATTTATAATAAAATATGTAAATTTAATATAAGAATAAATGAAAAATATCATCTACCATGAGCAAGTAGGACTCATTCCAGAGATGAAGTAAAGTTTTACATATGTAAAGTTACAAATGTAATCCATGACACAATCAGACTAAAAGACAAAATCCATATGATCATATCATAGGACTGAAAAATGAGTTTAACAAAATCTAATATCTCTTCGTGATAAATGCTGTGAGATTCTAGGGACTTGTGCCATGAGATTCTAGGGACACAAGGGATATACTTCACCATAATAAATGCAATACACTGGAAGCTATCAACAAACATCAACTGAAATTAAAAGAATTTATAAGCATTTCCACCAAAATCAGGAACAAATTTATCTACTCTCTATATACCAATTCAAAATAGTACTTGAAGTCTTATCTAGAACATTAATATAACTAAGGAGATAAAGTGGATATAACTAGGAAGGGTAGAACTCAAAGTTTCTATCCTTGTAGATGATAAGATTGAATATACAATTAACCCTAAAATGCCCTCTGAAAACTCCTACAACTAAGAAATGTGATTATTAAATATCAGGACATAATATAAATGCACAGAGATCAGTGACCTTTCTATATACATATGATAATGAAATTGAGATAGAACTTGACAAGGAAACAGTACATTCACAAGAGCCTCAAAAATATCTTGTGGTAACTCTAACCAAGTAAAATATTTGTATGATAAAAACTTTAAAATATTGAAGAAAAATTTGAAAAAGCTAATAGAGATGGAAAGATTTCCCCCACAAATGAATTAGTAGGATTAATACAGCTAAAATTCTCATTTTATAAATAGCAATCTACAGCTTCAATACATGCTTCAGCAAAATTTCACTACAAATATTCATAATTGAAAGGACAATGTTCAGATTCATCTGAAAACAACAAGAACAAGAATTCAGGAAGTTAAAATAATCCTAATGAATACAAGAACTGTTGAAGGTGTTACCATCTCTGACATCAAATCATACTATAGAGCTGTAGTAATAAAAATAGCATGGTGTTGGCATGAACCTGGCATGTTGATCAATGGGAAAAATTGAAGTCACTTACGTAATTCCAAACACCTACAGACACTTGACGTTTTTTTCCAAAATAAGCCAAAAGTACAACTAGAAATAAAAGGGAATCATCATAAACAAATAAAGCTGGCCATATGGTTTGGATTCATGTAGAAGAATGTAAAAAAATATATATTACACCCTCCCCCCACACACACATAGATTAGGCTACAAAATGGAAAATATTTTTTAGCAACTTCTCATCCATTATGAGGATAATTTCTTGAATATCTAAAGAACCCACAAATACAGGGTATCAAGAACACAAATCAATTAAATGGGATAGATTCAAAATGAGAAGTCTCAAAAAGTTTGAGAAGGATGAAAAGAAATATTCAAAATTCACCACCATGAAGAAAAAGCAAGTCAAAAGTGCTCTGAGACTTAAATATATACTAATTCAAAATGTCCTACGTCAATAAAAAAATATGGCAAAATAATGACGTCATTATTTGGTCAAGTAGAGGAAGAAGCACTTACAGGTGGTGAGAATAAAAATTTGTACAGCTATTATAAAAATCATAGTAGAGGTTCCTCAGGAGTGCAATGAGATCTACCTCAAGTTTCAGTTTATTCATATATCTAGAAGATGTTGCAAACTAAGATGAAGACACTTGCTCAAACATATTTATTTCTGCCTAGATGTCCTTCAGTGGATTGATGGATGAAGAAAATATGGTTCATTAACATGATGTAATTTTATTCAGATGTTTAAATTTCAAAGTCATGAAATTTGAAGACAGAGAACTGGATCTAGGGAAAAAGGCATACTGAGTGAGGTAACCCAGACCCCAAAATACAAACATGGTATACATGCCCCTACCTGAGGTATTTGCTCTTGAGGTTTAGGTAAGTATGTTTTATTCCACATAACCACACATGTGAGGTTTAAATTATGGGATTAGACAGTCAGGTTAAATCTATCCAGGAAGCTGAAATGGAATGCAGATGTCGGGCAATGGAATCAGATCAAAGTGTCAGGGAGTTAGAAGAGGGAAGAATAGAGGTTTTATGGAGAGGGAAAAGTAAAACTAAAGGCCAATTGGAGGTTCATATGGAAAACAATGAAATAGAAGCTGCCTAAATTGCATACATATATGAAGGCAATCTGAATAGATTTACATATAACAGGGAAGATGAAGATGTAGATGGATATCTCTCATAATCAAATGAGGCCTCCAAATCTAAGAATATGTTTTATCTAATTGGATTATTGGCCAAGTATGTCCCATGCAACACCCAAACAACCCAGTCTACTGCTAAATATATTACTTGGTGTCCACATAGGTAAGGTAATATTGACAAAGACAATACTTACACAAATCATTGAAAATAGATAACTTGAGCCGTGGCCTATCTGGAGTGTTCACCCCTAGTGATTAGTATTCACAGGAACTGGAAGGTATTATGCATGCTACCAAAGTAGAAAGATAAATTCCATTCCAGCCATTACTGTAGCATATGCCTGAATGAAGTAGCTATTAGCATAATACTGGCACAAAACACTGGGGAATAATCAACCAATGTCTGATTTCCTTTAAAGATTACCCTATGAGATGAAATACATCTATAACACTGCTCTTATTGCCAAGAACAAGAGAAGAGACAGATCAGGGACCTACGGCAAAGTCAAATACTAGTATCATTTTAAAATAACATAGCAAAAATTTATTCCTAATGACATTCTAAAATATTCATATATCAGTGGTTACCTCAGCCATAATCAGACATATTTCCTGCTTCATAAGATAATTATAAGTATAGAAATCCATTACCAGACAATGTGCAAAGAGTGAGACACAATGCAACAGTCAATCCTAAATGGGAACTCTGTAGAACAGGTGACAGAAAGAATGTAAAAAGGAGTAAGAGAACACTAGGGAATCTGGGCACTAATTGCCTTTTAATCCAAGCACTTGGGAGCCAGCAGTAGGCAGGTTTCTGTGAGATCGAGATCAGCCTGGTCTATAGAGCATGTTTCAGGAGTGTTCTAGGACAGCCAAGGTTACAGTGAGAAACCATGTCTCAAAAGAAAGAGAACCACCAGGAAAACAAGGATTGCTAAAAAAAAATATCAATAGAATTAAGCAACTAATGAGACAGATGGAAAGCAGAATGGGACCATGGTTTTAACAGCTACACATCATACAAGGGGTAAGATCTAATCGCATGGCATTGTATAAATTAAATGTCAGAGAAGTATAAATGCCAAGCAGCACACAGATAGATAAAATAAAAAAGACATACAATCGTCAATAAATATTTTTAAAAGTATTCAATATTTATAGACATAATGCTAATTCAAATTAAAACCACTTTGAAACACAAGCTTTCCAAAGTAGAAGTGGGTGTTATAAAAAGTCTGACAAATTTTTGAGATCCTGAGAGAAAGCAGTCCTCATATACAGTGGTGGTGACAAAAATTAGTTCAACCATTGTAGAAATCTGATTGGAGATTTTTTCATAAAACTAAAACTAGAACTAACATACTATCCTCATGTATTGGAAAAATACTCAGAGTATCTCATATATTATGTATTTATATTTACAACCCTATATTCATTGCTGTTTTGTTTACTTCAGCAAAATATTAAAATTAACCAAGTTATTCATAAGCAGACCAGAAAATTGTTGTGGCATAGATTAATGCAGACAAATTGTAATAAATATATACACAGCTTTAATGGAAAAATCAAACTCATGAAACCAAGGTTCCAGCAGAGGACAGGAAACAGGAAGGGCCCTGTGGGCTTCCACATGCCCAATTTATAAGTAAACACTCGCCTGAGGCAAGCCCGCCCCAATGGGCTGGCTTAACCCTACAGAAAATAAAGCATATGAGTTACATATAATAGGAAAATATTGTTCATCTCCAATGAAAAATGAAATTACAATGTTTGTAGAAAATGATTTGATATAGAGTGTAAAATAGTGGGGAGTGGTAGGTGGGTATGGAGAGAGAACTGGGATTTGTATTTAAAACATAAAAAAGTAACAAACCAAAATGTAATAGATATAAGAGTAACTGAGGTCAAATAAACACTGATGATAACTCAATTACACCTCATACAAAGAATCTAGATACAACCAGACTCACACACACTCACACAAACACACACATGTGTGGGAGTACAAAATAAATGTATCTGTGTTGCAGTTTAGTGTGAAGCTCTGGCCGCTAGTATCCTATTTGGGCCTACAATCAATAGAAAAAGCACCCTCTACAACCACTCCATGTGGAATGAGACTGGGTACCCTAGTTTCTTCATTCTAATTATGCACTCTTTTGCTGTTTTAGTGAGATAAGCCTTAGATTTCTATTCTGAAAACTTTGTATATGGTGAATTTGCATATGATCAGGTAGTAAACAAACCTGGATATACGATGTAATATTCAAAGATCCATGATGTCTTCAGGTGGGTCAACCTGTCCCTTTCCTTGGCTGTTTTCCATGGCTTCATGCTGCTTGTTTTTTCCCTTAAACCTACAGCTTGAGCTGGGTGTGCACACTGTCTCCTCTCTTATGCATCTCATAGTTCCACTGTTTTATCCTATGTAACAGGGCAAATGTGAGCTAAGACTTATATTCCTCATGTGCCTGTCATATTGTGTGCTCAGAATCAGTGAATTTTTTCTTTCCAGTGGTTAGTACCTCTGCACACTGGGATTACTTCATCATTCCTTCCCTGCATAATGCTCCTAAAG